GTAATCTTCTATTCGGAAATCGCCTAGCATATTCACGACGGGCATTATTAGCATTACCATTGCAAACACCATATCGGCGTATTCACCATTAGTATAAATGGAAGGCATAATGATGAATACTCTGCGAAAGTCTCTTACAAACTGATAAATGTTATTGAGGGTTCCAAATGCTAATTCCAAATAGTATTAATCCTTATGTTGCCAATAGTTTTTTATTCCTTCCTCTAAGCAAAGCGTTTGCGGACACACCTTCACTTTGAACAACATCTAATATGAATGTTAATGTTTATATTTAAAATAGAAAATAGAAATAGAAAATAACTTTATCCTGGGACAATGTCCCTTTATAATAACAAAATAGTACAAAATTAAAATACTACATCTGGCCTAAATAAAACAATAACAAAAGAAAAGAAAATATTAGTTAAACAAGCTATATACAAAAAAAAATCTATATAAAAACACTTACAACTATGTACAGTAGAAAAAATTATAATTATACACTTTTAAGAAAAAAATAAATAAAAAATTCTATGTGTTCTTCTTTAAAACAAGCTCTGTGCTCCTGCTAACAAGGGAAAGACGAATTTGACAGTATAATTCCTTACATTTAATTAGTAAAGTTTTAATAATTTTTAAGTTTTAATAATTCGATATTTTAATAATTTTAAAAATTAAGAAAATCATATAGCTCATGCCAAATATAAAAGTTTAAATTTATTTTTGCTCTATAAATTTTCGTAAATAACTGTTGATTGAAGAGTTATTACCTTGTCACCTAAATAACAAGGCGAAAACAACAGTTGACCTATAAATCTGCAGAAGAATCATTGGGTGAGGCGGAAATAGCCACTGTCACAAATGAAACCCTTGGGATCCAACACTAGAGTATCATGGAGTGTCAGGACAGTGTTCAAGGCTCGGCCAATGAAAGAGGTGAATGGAAACAAATTACTGGCAGAAAAAGAAACATGGTTGCAGATAGGATCCCTAGAAAACAAAAACAAAAAAACTGAAGTAGAGATAGCTATCATTAATAGTTTTCAGGTTCTAGCTAATCAAGATGAACAATGCCAAACCTCAACTACTAATACATCAGCTAACGTCACAACTAACCCACCTCCATTTTTTATTACCGACGTTGACAAATTCAGCGTTAAACTTCTTTTTACTTAGAACAAATTCCAAGGGAGTAACTGTTTACCCCAGTCAGACCCGAAATGATTACAGAAAGTTAGTTAGCTGTGTAAGAAATAGCTGGGCTGAATTTCATACGTATCAGCTCCATAAAGATAGAAATTCTCGAGTGGTTATTAAAGGCCTTCATCACAGCACCCCAATAGAGGAAATTAAGAGAGATTTAGAAGCATACGGCTACCAGATAGTAGGCATAACTAACGACGTCTCTCGCTTGAAACGGCCATTACCGATGTTTTTCGTTGATGTTAGTAAATCTACTTTCAACAAAAAAATCGAACTATTAATAAACTATTTTATACATAAGTTACATTAGAGGAACTTAGGAAGAAGAAAAACAGTCCTCAATGCTTAAGATGCCAAAATTACGCCCACACCAGTTCGTAATGAAATCACTCACCGTCGTGCGCCAGATGTGGACAGAGACACTATAGTTCTCTGTAACAAACACGAGACTCTCCTGCAAAGTGCGCAAACTGCCAAGGCGAATATTAGGCAAATTATCGTGGGTGCTAGAAACTTAAAGGTCTAAGGGAACAGAAGAAGGCAAGAAGTGATATTCATCAGAGGATACCACCTCCTTCTACGAACCTTCCAGATTTCTCGTCTCTACCATAACCATCTAGGAACTATCAAGTGCATAAGCCGAAACAATATCAGCAGCAACTTCCAGCGATTCACCAGACGGCCGTACCTCAATAACATCTTGTTCATCAGCAAAAGACAGCTCAAAAACAGTTGGAAATGAACTCAAATCTACAAACTACGTCTTCAGCATCAGTACTTCAAAACATTCAACCGTCGAAAGAAACGAATGAAGGAAGTTCTCAGCCACCATTGGTGGATAACTATATCTCTGCAGAACTGCTTACACCATTGGATACATAATTACCTATAACTGATGGCCTATGATATGTCATTTGAGTATAAAACTTACAAGCCATTTTTGAAGTATAGCCTAATCAAGGAAAAACGCTAGCCTAAATGATAGAAGAAACTGGAATTTCCTAAAGTAGAAAATCTGGTAACAACTCTGAAAATCCCTGAAAACTCCATGAAATCTAATTGACAGCAGCAGATGTTATTATTTTCTCTCACATGAATTCCACTGCATAAAGAGTCATGAAGCATAAAAATATAATAACCTCCCTATCTTAACGTTTACAGCCATTAAATTGTTTCTACTCTATTTTACTCTACCTACACATAATACATAAAATAGTAATCCATATATTAATTTTATGTGGTGTTTATCTTCGTCTAGTCGTAAAACAAAAATAATGAAACAATATAAAATATTGATAAGTTGCAATCTGGGTCATAAAACAGAAACGTGACTTATGGGAAGAGACGTGCTCTGCAATAGACATTACAGTTCTTAACATCCAACTGAATTATCTATGTATGATTTTCTGAATATTTATTGCAACAAGGATAGTAAAGTAAAGATTGTAAAGAGAAATTTAAAGCTACTAATATCATAAAGACACGAGTATCTATATGCATGAAAACGTGCAGGAATGTTAATGATTTAAACGATAATTTTACTTGTATGATACAATATGTTAACTCTAAAATAAATTTAATTAATAATAAATCATAGCTAGTTAACTATAAAATAACTACAGTTAATATTAAATCAAGGTAGTTAACTCTAAAATAAATTTAATTAATATTAATAGTTAACGAGGAAAATATCAGTAATACCAATAGCAATAATACCAATCAATAACACTAACTCTTCAATAAATTTTTTACTATTGCTACGTTTCTGGCTATTTGTTTTTCAATGGGGAGTGAAGGCAACATAAAGGGCATTTCCCAGTATTTATTGGATTTTCACTTCTAAGGGTTCCAGAAGTCAACATATCCATTTAAAAATATGCTAAATATATATTTAATGTGAAAGAAAGGTAAGATTGAATTAAAGTTGCTACCTGGTATCCTTTCCAAAATTTTTGTTTTACCAATATACTATTTTTGCATAGATTATGAAATACAAGGAAAATGCTAAAAATCTATTTTTAATAAAAAAAGACTATTCTTGAATTTTTTTTTAAAATAATTTTTTCTGAAAGAAAAATAATTCAATTGCCCACAATTATCAACATTTGGCATTATGGCTCTATTTTTAAGTTCATGCAGTATATAAAATTAAAAGAAAACGCATTGCAGCAACAATAATAAGAGAAAAAAATTATGAAAGGAAAAATACATTTAAGAGCATTGTAAAAAACCAATAATAATTACTTGTCACACACCCATACCTGTATATTTTTTATATATTTTTATTTAGTCTTGTGAGCCCAGAATCATGTTTTCCCAATTACTCCATTCAGCACTTCTTACCCGCCAAAGTATTTTTTTTTTTTTAGATATGCCAATATTTCAGAAACAGCTAGAGACCAATTTAGCCAAAAGTTGGACAAAAGTTGCTTATTGACAAAATTAATGTGAATAACGGTTGACAATATAATATAATTGTGGAAAGTTCTGATCATATGGAATGTGGTTTAGATTAGTACAATACTTTGAAGAGGTTATCGAATTTCATACTTTACCAAAAAATTTAATTTATGCTGTATTGTTTCTTCTATTCCGTTACTGGCATGATACTTACTGACTTTACCCAGATGTCCTGTAATTTTCAGTAAATTTAAATTAATTTTTATTCTAAGTTCATAAAAATGAATTCTTACGTATGTTTGTGATTATTTCTATTGAAGTTCAACCAGCTCGTCGTGGTCTCGATTTCTCCTTAAACATCAAAGTTGTGTGAACTTCACTGATATTTTTATATTCCGGTTTAAATTAGCTTTGTTCTCACTGAAGAAAAATATTGGGCCAGTTAATTCCGAACAAACAAAAATTTGAATTTTTCCAATCGATTTTTGGTTCCACACATTTTACGGGTGAAAACATACCCATTAAGTATATATCGTTACTGTTAGTGCAAAAGGTCATATGTAAAAATTTTCAATTTTGATTCTGTTTGTGCCATACATTTTGTAGTATGTAACTGATATAGATAGCCTGGTACTATAGAAACTGGTAGAGAAAAATGAATTTGTACTAATAAATCATAAAGAAATAATTAGTTGTGATGCTCTCCTGTAAAAACCTTAATTTTTACATACGAACTTTTTCACAAACACTAGCGATAGCCATGTTCAGTATGTACTGTACTGTGAAAAATAATTGACCTTAAAATATAAATACTGTTTAGCCAATAAAAACGGCGAAGAATCTATACTGACCATATTTACCAAATGTTTTTTTTTTTTAATGTATGAATGATAAATAATAAAATTGATAAATACTTGTTTTTGTAAGATAGTAATAAAAACTTCATAATATAACATAACAAGATTTCGGCTTTTATAAAATAAATGGTGGAAGAAGTTGAATTTATGTATCTGGGTGTGTGTATTTATTGATAAATAAAAATATAAAGAATTATTGTAGCGTCCAATGAGCGTTTGTTTTAAAGATTAATGTAATGTTATTATTATAATTTATATTGTATTTCTTCATAGTATTTCTTTCAACACCCATTCTGTTTTCGAAAGAACTGATTCTTAACTTACGTTCTTGAAATTTCGGAATATCTAAATCTGCTAAACATCGACATATTGGATAAACAAATTTCTTTTATCAGAATAAAAAAGGATTTTGCAGCCTTACATTTTTTAGAATTAAAATGTAGTATAATATTACGTGCTGAAGAAATAGCAATTGAGGAAGAATATTGCTACTAATCGGCAACAGTGTGATATAAATGAATTTCAAACAAGCTTTGGGAGTTATTTCTGTTCAGTTCAATGGAGTCGATAGTGCTATTTCTTGCAGTAAGTAAGAATTTAATTTATTCGAATTTAATAATAAGTTTGTAAAGTATGATATTACTAATGATTTTTTTTTCTGATTATTTGTTTATTGATAAATATTACAATCTGTCTCAATAAAGGCCATTTATAATAGAGTTCTGAGAGCACATTCATACCATATTTACAAATTTAAAAAAAAAAAAGCTAATTTCAAATAATATAAAGCTATAAAAGAACAAAATAAAATATCATAGTGAAGGAAGACAACATAAATAATAGTAATAATAGAATGAAAATAAATGAATAAAATAGAATTAAAATTATCATAAAAAAAAAATTAATAAAAACAAACATCTTAGATCTATTTACACTATTTACAGTCGGCCATGGGAACTCCGAACCATACTTATCCCCCCACATGTGGAGAGAAAGCAAGGCTTTAGGAGATCTCTGCGCTTCTTCCTCAATCATTTCACTGGTATTAAAAGCCAGCGGAGATTGAGTAAGGGCGCTACAACCACGGACACTCATGACTGAGTGGAGAATCTGGCCATTGCCAGAACTCCAATATATACATGTTACAAAAGGTCACGGGGTCACTAACTAATGATTAAAAATCTACTTTTGACGCATTTTCAGTCTGTCTTTCAAGAACGAATAAATACTTTAGCATTGTATCGAAGATCTTCGGAGTAGGATTGCTCCAAGATACATGCCCCTCCTATCTTAACCTCCTTGCCTTTATATCATAAGATATTAATTGGTCAGTTTCTGTAAGAAGCTTTGTATTGGTCTTTCTCCTCTAAGCGTTAATACTATGATCCCTGACCGCTCCCGATATCGTGCGGATGGTTTTTTTTTTTTCAAATGCTTCAATACCTACTTACTTATTGTATGCTGGTAATGTCCAAGTACCACATAAGTATATCAGAACTGGCTTTATTATAACATTGTACACTTCGAGATTCTGGCTTCATCATAATTCGAGATTTCAAAACCTCTGAAAGAGAAAAGAAAATTCTTTTTGTGCTTGATGTGCATTAGTCTATATCCGTCATGATCTCATAGTCGTGGCGGTATTTAATTAAGTTCATTATTAGTATTATTAATTATTAAATATTAAAAGCAAAATAAATATTGAATAGGAAAATATAATTGTTCTGTTATGAGAAGAGGTCGTCAGGAGAAATTTCATAACACCATTCGTATAATTTATATGAATCATTATTATTGTTTTTTCTCTCCCATGGCTTGTACTCATATCGAAAGATTTTTCTCGCAATTCTTTCAATACTTCTTCCTAGGGTGCTGGTTAGGGCAATATTTATGTACAAACGAATGAACCAATAAAACAATATTTAAATAAATTATAATTAAATTAATACATTTATATAGAAAAATAGTATAATACATTTCACAATTACTTTAAATTTATCCAGAATTAATCGTTCCTGCGTAACTGTTAATTTGCAGACAGTGACGCTAATATGCCTGATACAAGAAAACCAATCCATAGTACATAATGACGTAATAGGTGAGTAAACACAAATTATGGAATGAAAATTAAACTATATTTAACATCTCAGCTAGTTTTACTATATAAATATTAGTAATTGAATTTGAATCACTTAACCTCCATTCAAAAAAATAAAATAAAACTTATAAATAATTAAAGTATATCTTGTTCGTAATAACAGAATTTTTTTTTCTTTTTGTAACAAGTGAGAACAGATATTTATGATAAGAAGCCAGCATTTTTCAAAATCCCCAGATTCATTTACGATCATGCCAGGATGAAAAACTTTGTCCAGGTTCGTACAGAACGTGGGTTTCGCTACAAAATGAAACTTTATTGCTTCCCTAAAGACCCCAGATTCTGCTTCTTTTTTGATTACTGTGGGAACGTAGCTGGAGTCCAAATTTCCGTAAGTTATTTCTTTATCAAAAAATAAATGAAAAAGAATTATACCATTAACATATAAACATTTCCAATTTATGTTATTTACACAATTGAATCGGTGGGTGCAGAAATCACTTGAGTCACAAATTTCAAATTTTTCAAGAGAGTGGAAAAACGCCATAACTTCCCCAAATTTTCAAAAATTTGAACTTTTTTTTCCTCTGTCCTAACATGCCTTTATGTTGCTGTCATGCAAAAATTACCTAATTTCGACATAAATTAGGCTCAGGATATGCTGTTTCTGCACTCAACTGTTTTTACAAACAGCTGAAAACTTGGAAAAAGGTAACAATTCATTAATTTATTTTACAACAATACTATTTTACAATTTAATTTGATTGTAAGTGTAAATACAAAGGTTCGGGATTTTATATTACTTACAAACATTACCAGTGATAATTAACACAATTATACATATATGTAAATATATTCTTTTAATTAATAAGAGTATTCATTAAAGAGGTTAAATAGAAATATTTCTATTCACTTATGTAAATTTAACCGTATTCATTTTGATAAACGTCAATACTGCCGTATTCTGTTTTACTGGTGTAAATACAGCCGTATTCACTTTTACAATCATGATTAAGGCCGTTTTTGTATTTACAGTCGTGAATAAGTATTATCTGTATTTATATTTATTTTTATGAATATAAGTATAAGTACCATATATATATATAAATGGTATTCGTATTTCTTTTTTAATATAAATATGCTCATCTCTGCTAGTCATGTGATCCAGCGGTGGGTGCAGAAACCACGCCACGTGGTTCTTGCACTCAACACGCATGTTGCCTTTCTAAGCTTCTTTTTATCGAAAACAATTTTTTGTATTTTTTTTTACTCAAGTGGTTTTAGCATTCACTGATTCAATTTTATTAAGTTTTTTTTCTCTTAATTTTATAAATTTAATTTATTTTATTTTTAATGAGGAAAATTAGTTTTCCAATTTGAATATTGGCTTAGAGAATAAATATTTTTTTAATAATATCGCCAAGCTATCATTAGTTCTTTACCTGTGACCATGCTAAATATGACTACCATGAAATATTCAACCAATTTTAAGGACAGGTACAAACCTATCTGATATTCAGTAAGTTTCTTAAGTTCCTAATCTATTTTAGTAAACAACTAATTTGTTTTTAGTTTCATTTCATTTCAGTTTTTTTTCACAATTTTTTTTCTTTCTCTTATTTATTTTAAAAAGAGAGTTAGTATGTGTCTAGATTAAGGTAACTATATAGTGATTATGAATCGTCTCAGCTATTGAACTTTAAAATACTGTTCTTAGTTTCTAAAAGTAAAAAATAGTTTGAGTTCTTTTAAAGTCAGGTTCGTGGATTATAAGTACAAACCTTTTAAGTGGAAAAGTAAAACTATTGTCTGCATAATTTTCGAAAATATGATCTTTTGGAAAACCCCGTCTGTAGCTTTAGCATCGCGCCAGAATCTTTTCTGTTTTCTTGCAAATCAGTATTCAAGGTCTTGGATTAATAATAAAGATATAAGTAATATGGACGACGTTGAATATTTCCCATCAACCTATTTCTGGAATCTTGCTGTACTGAGTTTTCGAGGAGCCTCAATCTAAGTTTTGCGATACTATAAGAAAATATATAATAACGGTCTCCATGAAAAAATAGAGAATTGGGAAATTCACCGCTTAATAATTAGTAGTCAATTACAAAACACGGTTGAGTTGAGCATACCAATACAATAAGTACAAAATATGGAAATAAACACTTTGGAATCGCAATAGGGTATCTAATTAAGTATTAGTTTTTCCCAATTGTTTTTATATGACGTCACTTTAGATTTTCGCTCTAGCGATTTTGTATTCAATCTTTGAATTTTCTTTTATAACTTAAAAGTATATGGAATCTCTTTGATGTTGAATATGTAGAATCAATAAAATGTTATTATGAAAGACGGGTTCATATTACAAATATTTTAATAAGTTTGTTTTATAATAGTTTTACTTTTGTCTGCTGTATAGATTCTGAAAGCCGATGTGAAAAACGTCAAACCAGAAATATACAATTACACAGCAGTTAAAGATTTCATACACACAAGTTTTTTTAGAATACCAGCTTATTCAGTCAGAGTATATTTCACTCATCCAGGTCTGATAATTCGAATTGAGATCAATAATTACTTTCGATGATATTCACAAATACTAACTTGCTTTTATATTAGATCGTCTTACGACTTGTCGTCGAAATACTTCTGAAGTAGACGAAGGCATTTGGACATCCATAGACAGCAAAATTATTGAGATTCCTAGGTGTCAACCCAACGGTCTAAAGGCAGGAACCTTTAAAATGCAAGGTTGCTATCCAAGAAAAGGTATATTCATTCATATCATAAACTTAATATTAACTCGAGAATTTGGTAATGCCAACACCTTATTGTAAAATGTAATTGTAAAAAAATATATATAATTATAAATCTATACATATATAAAATAAAGATTTTGTCTGTACATTGAATAGAACCAACCCGTTTCATGATATCTTTCCGTTTCATACATTACAGACACCAAATCCACTTTTTAAAAATGTCTGTCTGTACGTCCGCATTGTCCAGCGAAATTTTGTCAGAAGTAAACTTAGCAATGGCTAATGGTAGACGTTTGAAATTTTGACATTATATTTAGGTTTGCTTAACATATCTTGTAGCATACGCTTTAAATGAAAACAAAATATTGAGTAAAACCAAATTATGAATTCTTGAGTAATTTGTCTAGAGATTCCGGTTAGGCAGTTACTTACTTCGACTCTCATCCCGACCAACTCTACCGCGAGCCACAGTTAAAAGTTGTAAGCTTGAAATGATCAATTGTAATAACAATACCTTTTTTTAAAAATTATAACAAAATAAAAAATTAATTTTCTTTTTCAATTATAATAACAAAACTTCGTCCAATCTTTCCGTTTAAGGTATCATTCGATTCAACTTCCCGAGCCTAAAAAATGTTGACGTATACATTTTTAGGATTAACCAAGTTTTTAGGATTTCACTCCGCCCGCCACAATATTCAGATCAAGTTCTAATTTTACACGGATGTAGGTGACTCAATGTCCAATGTTATTTTGGTTATTTTGCCGGCTATAAATTCAGCAGACTTTAAAGAAGTGGAGATACTAAAACTATTGTAGATTATTTCAATCGACTCCACAATCTTATCGCTTCATCATAAATGAAAATTAAACATTAAAAAAATTTTAATGGATTGGTCGTGGTCGGTTCAGTTATGTCCCACCTAAACAAATAGCCGAATAACAAAGTTTTTATTATGACTATTGCGAAACCTTGACTTCCATAAGCCCCCCAAAAACAATTCATAACAACTCTCCCACCAATTTTATTAAATTAAATTTGGACCTCCTCTCCCCCATGATACAAAACCCATCCCAAAAACAATTCTCAAATTTTAAATGTACACCCGTTAACGAAGGGTACATTAGTTAGTATCTAATAAAACAAAAACCATCTCTTTTTCTTCTACATGTAATGTTTATTCTGGACTGACGTGTTCTCTTCTTATAGTTTTTGAAGTGAAAACTATGGGCTCGTTTTGCTACATTTTTGTGGAGAGTGAATTAGATTGAGCTGTCATCTCTCCGATGTGTAACACTCGGTTATAATGGGCTGGAGATGATTAATTGATATGTTTTTGCATATGGCTTAAAATATCTCAAACATTCGAAATTGGACTTACATAGTGTGAGAGAGGGAATTCTTCAGCATTTCATTCTCTCTGTGATGTGTTATTGCTCAAAATTGTACCTTAACGCGACGCCGTGTTAGAGAAGCGAAAATTGAAAAAAAAAATGAGTCGAAAACCAAACCATAACGAGTTTTATTGCAGATACGGATTAAAATATTTCAGAAACTGAAAATCGGATCTTAATACAGTAAGCGAGGAAATTGTCAGATATTGTTCAGCATTTCATCTAATCTGTATGGGTTGTGATTCAAAACTGTATCTTAACGCCGTGTTAGAGGGTCGAAAAGAAAAAAAATAGTGTCAAAGCTATTATTTATAGCTTTATTTATTTCATATTATTAATATCGCCTTGTTAATGTTTTCACTCCAATCGTGTGGTCTAAGAAGCACACACCTTTAGTTTTTTTTTCTATTTGATCAGTATTTTTTAATGCTCGTTCTTCCCATTTTCTCAATTGCTTCTATAATTTAAATGAAATTGTCTAATCATAATTATTTAATCACAGGAACAGTATTCATAAACAAGTTCGGCAGCCATGATTCATGCAAAGAGGCCTATATGCTCTACGCGCTGTATGACCGATATTCTCTAGTTGGATTCGGATTCTTCGGAGTCGGCTACGGTACTCCGGGACCCCTCAGAGATTGGTACACACATGCTACGGGAAAACCGCTTAAGGTAATGATATATTAAACATAATTACTTATGTGATAATATAATTAATTTTATACTGAATAAAACATGTTTAAAACATTTCCGAAAAAATATTTTTACAGGATCTGCTTCCAGCACCACCGCCATGTTTTGAAGATCTAAAACAGTTCAACTTCACTTCTATTCACGTATTTCTAGTTGACAATCCGAGGAAAATAACTTGCCATGGGTGCAACGGTTAGTCCTGGATGCGTTTGTATCTTCCATTTCAGATATAATATTGTTGAATTAATAAACAAATTAATCATTACAAGTGAAGATAAGAAATAAACGGGTTTTTAATCAGAATATTTTTAATACAACAATACTTCCTATACCTATAGATCTCCTTAATTATGCATTGCTTCATGTAAAATTATTTAATGGCTTATTAACTGATGCACTGCGAGATTATATACACAGGTGGGCCTACGGGAGAAGGGAACTAACTACGAAAAAGATTTTAATAGCTCAAAGTTATGGATCATTGTCTGTATCCAATTATAATTGGCTTCTGAAGAAACATAAAAATGCAGATTCAATAACTAAGAAACAAATTATAATAGCTTAAAATTATGAAATTGGTGTTCTTTTCCTCCGGGGTACAGAGCTGAAGTAGCTTTGAATTTGAACGAAGTTAATGTGATAAACTTATTTTAAGACTATAGCTAACCAACGATCACTTAATCTCAGTTTAAATGTCAGGATGGTAGCGAAAAACGAATATCTACTTTGTTTCTCTCCTTAAGGTTTTTGAAAATAAAGTATTGCGTAGAATATTCAGACTGAAGAAGGATGAGTTAGCCGAATAGTTCAGATGGTTACACAACGCCGAATTTGGTGAATTATTTCCGGTTAATAAATTGAGGTAATTACATCTAGGCGAATTAAATGGGATTTTAAAATTGTTGGACTTAGTAACGAAAGAATTCATAAAAGGTTAATATGCGCTGTGCCAATGGGTAAAAGTGCTAGAGGTAGACCGATGCGAAGTTACGAAGATTGCGTTGGGCGGCGAACGGTGGAGGGAGAGGTCTAGACAGCGATTGGTAGTGTCGGCATCGAACCTTCGGTTTAGCTAAACTTTTTATTATTATTATTATTATTTTTCTCTCCTATGAAACCATTACTCAATAAACAAGGGGCCGATTTAGAAAACTATTACATTTGGCAGATAGTTCTGGTATATGTACAATAATAATAATAATAAATAGGTTCAGCGAGCCGAAGGTTCAATGCCGATAGCACCAATCGATGACCATATTCTTCCTTCCACCGGGCTCCGTCTAAACTCAACCCCGACAGATCAGCCTTAATAACGCAATCTTCCCACCTTCGCTTTGATCTATTCCTCGGACTTTGCCAGTCGGCACAGTACATATAAACTTTTTTCGAATTGTTTCTTTACTAAGCCCAGCGATTTTATTTGTCTCAACTTAACTATCTCACTTATATTAACCGGATACAGTTTGCGCAATTCAGCGTTGTGTAACCGCCTAAATTCGTCGGTTAACTCATCTTTCTTCTGTCCGAATATTCTGGTATGTGGATAATACTGAAACAAATTCGACCAACTAACGTAGCAATGTGGGAGTTAGAACTATTTTAGGCAGAAACAAAATTTATTATATGTATTTTGCACTCTAAAAAAATTTTAAATAATAATTTTTCGATCAATCAAATATTTTTAAAATTGACCAGATTGAGGGACTTGAGAGAAAACAATATTTTTCCTTACTATATATATCTTGAAAATAGGCAAGTGAAAATAAAAACTTTAAACCCCTTAAAACTACTTTGCAAACACCAACTGATATCCAGTTTAGCTACTCTCTAACTCAATTTAATGGTTCTTTTTTTTATTTTTGTGGCTTTATGCATGGTCATAGGAGGAATGGTCGTAAGAGCAATTGGGGGGAGTCCAAGATGCTACTATTGTCTAACTGGCATAGTAAATTAAATATTTCATATGTAATAAATAGCATGAGAGGAGCTGTGGACATTCTTGATAGAGGCAACCACAGTTTTGCTATCAGAGAAAATAATCACATGAGAAGGTTCTGCTGATATGGCATACTTTAGAGCCTCTAGTATTGCTATTGCATTGGCGGTAAATATGGAACCTGCCCCCGGTAGCTTTAACGACTCTGGCGTATCTTCTAATGCATTATACAAAGATGAACCAACTTCAAATCCTTGTTTTAATGTATAATATCAACGCTTGTCCACCCTCTGAAGGCTGCTTCTTCTATATAGGAAGGAAAAACTGACCAATTTGATACTTTATTGGGATCTGGAACAGCAAAATTACTATGACTGAGGTGAGGAAAAACATTAGTAAGTAATTTGGGATGGGAAGGAGATAGAGGAACAGAAAGGTTTAAAAGAGCAAGTCTTGTATAATTTCTGACTAATAGAAATGGTTTGGCCAAAATGTATGGGAATTTACGAGTTCATCTAGTTGCATGATGTTCCTGACAGTTGGGTGATCTGACTATAGTAATTATCGATGAAAAAATCTTCTCTAGCTTCTACATGAAGGGCATTTGTTGGAGCAATGCGTCCTATACAAACCCTTAGTGATTTATAGTATATCTTATCTAGTTCATCTAAACAAGATTTTGCTGCATCGCCATATAATTGAGAACCATAATCCACTCTTGATAAGATTAAAGCCTTATAAAAGAGAAGGGATATACTTGGATGGGACCCATAGCGAACTTTTGAGACTCATCTTATTATATTCAACACTTTTTCTCACGAATAGCATAAGAAATTATTATGGTCACGCCACAGCAGTTCTCGGTGCAGTAAAACAATCTGTAATTTAAATTTTTCTAAGATATTAAATTCAAATGGACCTAATTGTATGTTACCGGTTATTGAACTATGCTTGCATGAGAAAATTGTGATGGCACTTTTTTTTAGAACATGGTAAAACCGTAATTAATACACCAATAGTTAAATCTTTTCATATTTTCTGTCATATAAATTACAGCTTGATCCGGACATATGTGAATGATTTTATAAAAAAAAATCAAACTTATACTTGGTAACAAGATGTCGGATGGTCGAATGATCAATGACAATTGCATAGGAAAAAAAAATCTTTTGTGAGAAGTATAGATAGTAATGTCATCCACGAATTTTAACGTTTTGATGTTAGGCAAGAACAAAGAACTAAGATAGGATATATAGATAGAAAATAATATTGGACATGGGACTGCCCCTTGTGGTAAGCCTATAGAAATGTTGAAGCGCACAATTAATCTCCTATTGAGCAACAAGTTTCTGACCGCCATGACAATTCTGGTAGGCACAATATGCTCTTGCATGAGGTTGATGAAAAGGTTTATATTAACTAAGTTAAAAGCGTTTGATAAATCTATGAATAAGGCAAAGTGATACTTGCTAGATGTGAAGCTAGTATAGATTTCAGAGGTAAGCGAAGCACGAACGTCAATTGACCTAAGACCTCTTCTGAAGCCTGGTTACGAAATGGATAGTTTCTGGTAACGAAAAAGATTTTAAAACAAAAAAATTCAAAACCAAAAATGGTATAATTTTTTATACCACTTAATTTAGAAGTGCTGTCAAAATATTGTCATATAAATGATATCCTGTTATTTGTTTCAAACTGCTAACCACGAAAAGTACTGAACCTATTATTATCAAATCTATCATCTTCATTCACATCTATTGCATTTTAATAATTTCAATGACAATTTATTTTTTCACTGATTTAATTTATTTTATTGTAAAAGATGAACAGTTAGTCAATTCAAACTCGCCAATTGCGGAAATTCCTAACCATTTTAAATTAGACAGACTATTTATTTAGGATAACATAAGACTTTCTAGCATGCGACCCATAGTCGCGGAACAGTAACGGTAGACGTTAGTCAATTACACTTTCCGTAAATATTGTTTGCATTTACGATAAATGAACCGGAGGGACAAACTTTTAAGCATATTTGAGTCTAGTTAAAGTAAGGTTTTTTTTTTTTTTTTTTTTTTTATCATTTTCTTGAGATATAATACATGTTACCACACTTAAGTGTACTGAGTATTAAATTTGTAATACCATATTTACAATATTATAACATAAAAAAATAATTGGAATACATAAAAATACATATATAAAAGATAATAAATATAAAAAGATAACAAATATAAAAACAAAGAAATATAGCTTATAGTGAAATGATACAGAAAATTCATAAGGGAAAAAAAATTAAATTAATATTAATGATAATAAATTATTAGAATTGAGTAAAAAAAAAAAAAATGACTTGAGTGAAAAAGCTCTGGCCATTGGCAGAACTCCAATGACATATTTACAAAAGATCTCGAGGCCACTGCCGTTTCAACCTTCGAGGAGGATTGTAGGGATGACTGGAGCTAAGGATAACGATTGTCCTAAGGGATTAAGATGGTGGATTAGGCTCAAGTGAAAATTTGAGAATCGGGATGGAATAACATCAAGGACATAAGGGATGTAAAGGTCATGATGTAAGGTATAGTTCCTGACATAATAAGGAGCATTGATAGATCAAATTATGGAGGATGCAGTATTGATGATGTATTTCTTTCTATATTCGCTACATTTAATGTGTGCGAACATCGAAGTCTTTAAATCGCTTGCTCCTAAAGGAAGACCTGGATGAAAGAAATTATAGAAAACAGAAAGATATATTTTGAACCATGGGATATTTAATAGTTGAGGAAACTTCAATTTTCAAAATTGTCACGGTAAAATCGCATTACGACTATCAGGAATGGTGCAAAATCGTCAATGTACCCACTTTTGAGAGTAATTTCTGTCCACTCTACAACTCCAGTAGCAGTGAATTAGTAATTTATTCTTCATCTTACCTATATGTCAAACCACTTCAGTAATTTAAATAAAATAAACGGAACAATATTTTTAAAATAATAATTTATTTTTAATTTGTTTAAATTAGTCGTGCATTAAATTCATTTATGTTTCCTTTGGCTTATCAGTCCCTCAGAAATGAGGCACTATCCTATCTAGAACGTGTCAAAGGAATAGTCATTTGTTCATCAGCTCTAACAGAACACACTATTTAAAGTAAAGAAAGCTTTTCTTAATTGGTAACTCAGTTTACTAGCGATGAAGATATTTACAGCAATATGTATGGTAAGAATTCCGAAATTAACATAATTAAAATTAAATTCTTCCAAAACATAAATATAAAATTTTCTTGGCATTTCAATTCATATTTTGCATAGAAACTTGAGAAAGTGTTGTTGTTTTTTCCACTTTATGAGACGGCTTTGAATTATCTTCTTAATTCCTTGCAAAATCAGAAGTAATGATAATATCAATAAGATACTATCAATTATCATCACAATTATCCATTAAAAAATAAAGTGTTATACATTTTTTTAAAGTCTTATAAGAGTTTGTAATATAAATATAACTTTCTATTAAATATTGACAAATTACATTTTTATATATTAAATATATATATATATATATATATATATACAATAACTTATTTCTATATTAATTAAACATTTTACTTAATCGAAAAGTTTCCAATTATATGTAAATCCTTAGCGTCCTATATCAAAATTTAATTTGTCAATATTTAATAGAAAGTTACATTTATATTACAAGTTCTTACAAGACTTTAAAAAAATGTATAACACTTTTTTATTTAATAGTATTAATGCAATAGTATTTTATTTACAGGCACTAATACTAACAATGATCCCAGGAGAGAGTGAAGGAATTGTTGAGTATTCACGTGGTAGACTTACAACAGGTAATGTTTTTTTTAAATAATGGCTAATTGAATATATAATAATACATTTAATAATAAAAAATATTTTCAAGCATGGAAATCCGCCTGCCCTTAATTAAAAGGGGTAGTTAAATTTTATATATATAATCCAAAATTTATAAGACTGGATATAGTATTTTACCTACAAAATTTCGTTTTCATTTTTTCGTTGATAATATAATTAGCTATAAAATTTAAATTCTCAATTTAAATATATTCATCATTATTTTTATTTTTTATTTAAGTCATTCAGTGTTCAAACGTTTACCCTGAAAATTTCTTTAACACCATTTTCTAATGTGTTTGTTCCTATTTTTTTTTCTAACCCTGCAGACATGCCTTTTAACTTTTCTTTAGATAAGTTAACTATTATTTAATAGTTTTCATAGTAGAACTATTCAATCGTTCCTTGTTTATACCTATCAAATGCTGAGTAAAAACATTTCCCTAGTTTGTATTGTTATTAATTGATCCAAAATGTGGATTGGAAGAAAATCGATAAATTAACAAGGAAAATTTTGATAAAATAAATATTAAATATAAATCTTTGATCCTTCAAAGGAAATGGAAACCTCCAATAATTTCTTAAAAGTTAATATTGCACTTTATTGAAAGTAAAAGGTGACAAAATAATTTTGTACATTTTCGCCTTCACTGACAGATTTATGAAATATTACAATCGTAAAAATCCAAATATTATTTATTATGGACGGCCTTAGACGCCGTGTTTCATAATTTCTTAATTGAAAATAACTTAGATTTAGTTTATGATAAATAATTAACCATTCCACATTATTAGTAGTATTAAAATGGATAAAATATTAAAGAATTACATAATTAACTTCAGGAGTTTGTGTTATTTGCATGCCCTTAATGGTCGAATACACAAATATGTACTTTAGAGTTTAACTCCATCAGAATTGTACCTTGTGAATTTTTGCAATAAATTAAGCTTGTATCCGTACATATATTATTACAGTAAGATTCGAAATCGGTTTTGTACCAAATTTAAGCTCCTGTCATGCTCAAATACCATGAATGTGGTACCGTTGGATTCAGAATTTCACGGGGGATTAGCGAATCGTATTCTCCACTTTTGTTTTTCTTTCTAAAATAAATAAAGTCGATACAAACATTTTGCTAGGCTTCAATACCTGAACAGTGGTAGGTCTGTAGATCGATACGGGACAAATTGGATCTAGAAGATTTTGATGCGTACAGCAAGACCCGGATAGTTCCTGCGGAACTATCGGATCCTGCGTTTTTAAGCCCAAAAACGTACTATTTTCGAGATAACGCAAGGCATAGGGTTCGCATCCACACAACCTTACATTAATTGTGGTAATGTCATTGAATACATGTCTCATTTCGTCGACTTGAGGTCTCTATGATCGAGAGAGGAGGAGTTTATATTATTTATCGATGATGTTTTTGATCGGCAAGCCATTTCATCGTCAATTTTTAACCAAATCTCAAGATTGAGCCACCAATTTTGAAGGCATCCTTCTCCATCAGGCGGACAAAATAATCCAATCACCCCGAAAATTAGGGCAAACAAGTTATAAAAGAAAACAAACTTTATTTGCGAATAACTAAAAAATTACACACTTTTCCCGTGGTTATGCCCGTGATTATATAAAAGATTAATAAATTGAAATCGGACAATTTTTAGCAGAGGTACAGCTTACTGAAATATGTAAACATGTTGGTTCCAAACAAAAATGAAGATTTAAATTAATTTTTGTTTCCTTTGTCGATTATATTTATCGATAAAGTAACATTTAATTTCTTTATCTTTTGATAGGTTGCATTATTTTATTTTCTTATTAATCTGGCATTTGATAACAATATGCTGTGCGAATTTTTAGCACGGCCCTACTAGTTTAAAATAAATATTTTAAATACTCAAATGATTATCTTGGTAAGAATTAATCAAACAAATGAGATGATATTGATGACTAAAAGCAGACTTTTGCTGAAAAGTAAACAAAATGATTAATTTTTTATATTTAATTATGTTTGTTTCAAATACATAGCTTAGTACCAAGAGGTGGTCCTACAATGGATTCCAGGGCATTGTTGGGTTGCGGGGAATGAAATCAGAGCAGACCGGTTGGCCAAGATAGGAACACATCTCCCGAAGAGTGCAAAACTATAAACAAAGCAGCCATAAGACAAAGGTGGAAAGCAAGTCACCCAAATCACAATCCTCATGACGATTATTTCAAGCTGATTAGAAGAGAACAGTTCGTCATTTTTCGCCTCAGAGCTGGACATAACCGTTTGAAATCACATCTCTTCAGGAAGTTCAAGATATGACCCAGTTCTCTGAGTGGATGTGAACAAAATGAACGAACTGCAAAGCGCATTCTGCGGAACTGCCACCTGGTGGAGGATATGCGGAGGCAGATATGGCCCCAACCCACAGACCTGAGGACCAAGCTTTTCGGAAGTCTGGAGGATCTAAGCTGGACCACGAATTTTGTATCTTTACTTCCCGACATAGCCATCTAGAAAGAAGAACGAAGAAGAAAGAAGAAAGAAGAAATAGCCTATCTATTCGTTCAAATTAAAAAATGAATAATTAAAAAAAAATAAATGAGAAAAAAAGAATCTCTCATATTGAAAACAAATTCCCGAAAATTGAAATATTTGAAAGCACTGGAATGCTAAAGATAGAGAGAAACACTCTATTTTCATAAAATAAAATATAAAGGATTGCTGCCAATTATATTGGGTTGCTATATATACAGCATACTCCTCTATCCTTAGGACAATATATGAACTTATATATAAATATACAGAAGTATTAGTTAATATTAGTAAAATAGATATATAGATAAAAAAAAATTATAATATAAAGATGTAACAGGTAACAAAAAAAATGATGAAAAACGCACACATTTAACAGATTAGCGATTTATAAAATGACATTACAAATCATCAAATCAAAAATTCATTGCGAATCATTATGTTGTACCATTTTCATTATTTTTTTCCCTGTTTTAATGAACATACTAACATTAGGATGTAAGTTTTTATTGCATGATATGCTGATTTTTTCTCAATTATGTTTATGACCAACAATATATATATATATATATATATATATATATATATATATATATATATATATATATATATATATATATATATTAATTTTTAAATGTGTATTTTTAATATTTGGTAATATTTACTTTTTTGAAACAGTGACTCCAGCCTTCATAGATTCGCCAGAAGAGAAGAAAGAAGCCTTCTTCAAAATACCAACATCTAAACGTGACCCTTTGTTTAAGGAGTTCAAGTACTACCATGTCGTTATAAACTTACCAGTCAAATTTTACTGTTACCCGAATGATCCTAGCTTCTGCCTCATCTTTGACTATATGGGCACGATAGCTGGTATACAAATTGGAGTAAGTCTGTCCATTAAGATGATATGTAGCCTTATTTGTAAATTCCAATAAAAAAAAAAACAATTAACTATATTAAAAATTATACTTAATGCTTAATTTTATGACAGTACTTAGAACAACATGCGAAAGAAGTCGATCCGATTGATTACAACTTTGAAAATAATACCAATTATATTAAAACGAAGATCTGTAACAAAAGTATTTACGCCGTGAGAATATGGTTCACTAACCCAGGTAATTAATAAACCTATACTAAATTGTTCGATATTCACTTCTTAGCTGTAAGAATTAAAAGTAGCCGGATGAATTTGCAGAGGAGCTGAAGGAATGTGGTCGCACTGATCATTCTGAGGTCATTGAAGGCCTTTGGACATACGTAGATGGCCACTTGATGAGGTTCGACCAAAGATGTCAAACAGTCGGACCATCAATCGGCTGCTTCGACCTCCAAGGGTGCGTTCCTATGAAAGGTAATTGTAACATGAATACAAGAAAATTCAAAATTCTATTTTTACATTCACATACTTATATATGTAATATATAGTAAGAGAAAGTACGCCATCGAGAAAATTTTCAAATCTGAATTTTCAATGGAAATACACGTCTTCAGGTCACCTGAGTCCAAACAACCAAGTGTGTGCCGTACGAAACTGATATTACATATTTATGATTAGGAGTGTTACAGCAACCTTTTCGTCAAAATTGGCTACCTGAAAGTACTCATTTATGTCATCGATTTTATAATGCTTTACAAATTTCTCTAAAACGGCTCTAACGAATTTGATTAAATACAATATATAGGCGTAAAATTAATCGGCTTTTTAATATAATGTGTCTTATTCTCATTGATGTTCTCAAAAACAGGATTTAAATTTTCAAAATTTCTTCATCTAAAGTAGCTTAAATGTTTTGTTTTTTTATTTAAAATAATTAACCATTTCACATCGTAATATACTATAAAAAATGGTCAAATATAAAATATGAAAGAATTTTATATTCAAGCAAAGGAATCCATAGTTATAATAATAATTATAACAATAACATTTATAATAAGAAGAAATAAGAGATTGTAATAGAGAACCGAAGAGACCCGAGCTTGGACGAAAGATTTGAATAGTTTTGATAATTTTACGATCTACCTTGCATGCCACCAATTAGTTATAGAAATAAATAGTAAATTTTTAAACATGATACCTTTCGAAAAGAAATTCAATAAGAAGTATATTAACCAATATAGGATACTGCAGTAGGGGTCTTTGGTATTTAACCTTTAAATACACAATTCATATATTTTTTAGTTAATCGGTTTCCTCCCGGAACATATATAAATACAAATATAAGTATTAAATACATTAAATAGAAATAAATATGGTTCTTGGAACCCTCTACTCGCCGTAGAAACGCGAAGTCCAGGTACATAGCATATGTAGAATTTTAAAGTTAATAACTAAATAATAGAGCGAAAATAAATCCTTCTTAAGTATGTTTCGGGAAGTTACTGAACTCGATAGTATCGTACGTGTACGAATGAACACTTGAACACAGCTCAAATACTTGTAGCACATAAATCTGACCAATAGCGGATCATTTAAATCTATTAAATCAATAGATTTAATGTTGGGGAAGGAAGAGGGGCTTCAGCCCGAAAGTTTTTTTTCAAAATAAAAATAACGATAATTACTTTGGAAAAAAAGAAAGAAACTAACTATCTATATGAAATGGTTTTTAAGTGATTCCTAAAGTCCTATTAAATGTAATTACACGAACAATAATACTTTAAAAAATATTTTTTCCATAAAACATGGTTAAAGTTTACCATTTTTGGGGGGGGGGAGAAGGCTTCAGCCCAAAAGCCTTTCTCCTCCTCCGGAGATCCGCCCGTGAATCTGACTAATTGTATTATTATTCCATATACATATTGCAATCAAAATGAACCTCCACCTCGATGGCTGTAGTTAGTAGAAAAAATATACTACAATACAACATATCCCAATAAAATAAATTTAACGAATACATTTTGATTTTCAGGAACACTTTACATCTACAATTTCAACAAATACTCTTCTTGCAAATTCGCCTTCTTCCTCTTTTTAATCTATGACCGGCACTCCCTGGTCGGTGTCGGGCACGCAGCTCCTGGTAATTTTCCTCCAGGACCGCACAGAGACTGGTTTGATCGTCCTAAAGGTGAAAAGTTAGCGGTGAGTATTTGTTCTACAAGTATATTAAAAAAAACCTTGCTTTGTTTTAGAGATAATCTGAATTATTTTAATGAAATTTCTTGCCTTCTTCAACATCTCTTGAATAGGCAGAAAAATTTCCGTTGTTAAATATAGACTATTATGTTCCAGCAAATAACTCCTTCAGTGCCTCATTGCTTCGCCCATCTTCTCAAGTATGGCCTTACTTCCAGCGTAACTTTCTTGATTGACGATCCGCATAACATCAAATGCCCAGTATGTGGCTGCTAAGAGTTACAACAGCACTCCGTTTCTACATTAATATATTAAATATGAAAATAAAAAATTCTTGTAAATGATTTTTTAATTATATCTGAGATCAATAGTTAATATTAACTGATTGTCCACATGAGCTAGTGAAGATTGTAATAAGATTATTGAATAATAATACAATCTACTTGATTGAAGAGCAACAAGTATTTGAGCTGTAAGTGTTCATTCATACAATATACATACACAAGCAGAAAATAAATATAAATAATTTGAAAAACATTAAATTAAAAATATAATAAATAAATAGTATAAAATATAATGATAGATTTGAACTTGAATAAAAATAAAATAAGTCTTCTAAAAGCATACCTAGGTACAATATTTACAATTAGCAAAGATAACTCCGAACCAGACTGATCCCTCCACCTGTGGAGGAAAACCATGACCCCAGGAGTTCCCTGTGCAACTACTCACTTATATTAGAAGCCAGTAGAGATTGAGTGAGATCACAATATCCAGATATATACATAAATCAGGAATTCTATCTTAACAGAATATGAAACATTTTTAAAAATAATATAACAGTGTACAACAAAATAATAAAAAAATAAATAGAACAAACTTCAAAACAATTTTTTGGTTAGGAATGAAACCTACAAGAGAAGCCGTTATATATAAGTAAGTATAATCTTGTCAAGGAAAAATTCTGGCCTAAAACACAGTAATCTTTATATCACTGTTGGAAAATTGTAACGATCAATAAAAATTTCAAAAAAATTTGGAATTTATCACATCACTATTCGTAAACTAACAAAGTAGTTCCTTCTACATTCAAGAAGGCCATTTTTTGAGTAAACCATAAATTTTTTATTTTTTTTTTATATATTTTGCTTCCTCACTACCGAAGGTAGGGAAGCATTGTGTTCGTGCGAGAAATTAAAAAAAATTTTTTGCTCAGAATCGAAAATTTTCACTCGCGTTTTACGTTTCAGACATCAAGGATCAAATTTGGTTCGGTGTCTGTCTGTCTGTCTGTCTGTCTGTCTGTCTGTCTGTCTGTCAGTCTGTCTGTCTGTCTGTCTGTAGTCAAATCGATGTGACGGGCATATCACCTAGTACCGTTCATCCAATCTTCATGAAATTTTCAGGGATTATGCTGATCGGTGCCTAGATGGTCCCATATCAATTTTATCAAATTCCACCCAGCACTTCCGCTTACGCACGCGCAAACGTATATTTTTAGATATGCCAATATTTCAGAAAAGGCTCGTTCGATTTGGCTCAAAGTTAGATAAAAGGTAGACTTTGGTGAAAAAATAATGTAGTGTCAATTTCATCGAATTGCGTCCAACACTTTCTCTTGTATGTGCACAACTAGTCCGTCGTCCGCCGTCCGCGCATTTTTTCTGAAACTAATGGACCGATTTTTTTCGAATTTGGATATAAAATTAGAGGTCACCCGAGGATCATCCTCCTTCAACGACATTACTATTCGCCTTCTAGTTTCAAAATGGCGGCCGAAAAACCTGCGTTGCTGTAGACTGTAGCGCCTAAACGAATGAACCGATTTTGATGAAACTTCGCTAAAGTCATTTTCTCTACGCCCTCTAAATTTATCTATACTACATACTTCAACGAAAAGAAGCTCAAAAAAAGTTACGAGGGATGGTAAAATTAAATTCCGAATAACTCAAGAAGTATACACATTTATGTCAATATTGTATATAATTTTTTAGAAGTTTACGAAATTTCTTAAAAAACAAAAAAAAAATCGTCAAAATCGGACAATTAGGAGCAAAGATATCGTCTCTAGGTTTTTTTAGATGTGCTATTGCAAAAGGTTTATCTTTTTTTTGATTTCTGAATGTGTTACTGAAGTAATGCTATCTTTTTTATCATATTACTAATGATTACTAAAGATTTTAGTCCAATAATTAGAATCATCTTTTATTCATTTTTCTTTATAACTAGAAATTTAATGTTACTTTATATGTATAATTGTTTGGAAATAATATACCAAAGAGAAATAATTTGCAGTAGTTTTTTTCATATTAATTATCGTTATATATATATATATATATATATATATATATATATATATATATATATATATATATATATATATATATATATTTAAATCTTTCGTGCTGAAGCCCCTCCTCCAAAATTAAATCTTGATTCGGTAATGTATATACTATTATTTGAGCATAAGTTCGTATGTAATAATTTTCAACTTTAATTTTATGTGTATTAAAGGTGATATTTTGTAGTCTGTAACTGATATAAGTAGTCTGCTACTATGGAAAATAGCAGATGAAAATAAAATATGAAATTATTCTAATAAAGCATAAAGAAATATTGAGTTTTTATGCACTCTTGTAAAACAATAAATAAATTTATACATAAGACCTTTTGAACTAACAGTATTGAAATTCATGTTCAGTATGCATTTTTTTTATTTATTTTTTTTTTTATTAAGCATAATTAAGTATGGAATATTCAAATACGACCCTCTGTTGTTGAATGTTGAAGGGTAACTTTAATCAGCTATTCCGATTCTGCTTCTCGCAGAGATTTTATTCTCATTCGAAAAATTGTATACCTTGTAATATACAACGGAAACGGTGAGGAAGCTATACTGACCTTACTTGGCAGACGTTTTTTTTTTTTGCTATTCCAATCTCCTTTTCTAAGGAGCTATTATTATATAAAAGCTATATAATAATACAATATCTTCTTCCTTCAGCGCTATGATCCAGGTAGGACTTTGGTCTTCCCAACAATTTTGCTCCACCAAGACCGATCCTCCCCTGTTTTTTTCCAATGTCTCACTCCCTGTGATCTCAGATACTACGAAAAATAGAGAATAGGATAGACGTTCTCTGTCTGAACGTCCTTCTATTATTTTTCTAAGGAGCTATTGTAACGCAGTGATAATTTTAAAAGTCTATTTCTTAGCAAAATATAGCAATTTTCCCAGTTGCAAAAGGACTACTATTATATATTGTAGTAATCTCCAGTGTTCCATGCGTGATGAAGAGAATTTTTAGTTTTGCTTTTATTCTTTTAGAGATTTTAGGGGAATAATTTCTTACCATCTCGAATAATAATCCTCAACCGCTATAAAATATTCCCCGTCGTATTCTTCGATGACCATTCCAAGGATTTGAAATGGGTGGGTATACCAGTAAATCAAATTGAAATAAGAAAGTGCTGACTATATCTTTATCCATATTCGGCCGATATAGCATTCCATTAATTCTTAACATGGTTTTGGTGATTTAGAAAATAGGCTTTAACTTGAATTAATTTCACAATGTCAATTATTTATTCAAACGAAAAACACACTAGGTATTCGCTCAATGAGAAGAGTAAGACCATTTTCAAATCATTTTTTCACACTCCAAACTGAAGCTTACGATTTATTCCACACCATTCGGAATTAATGATCTTTATAAATCAAAAGCATATATTGACTTTGTAAGCTCGCAGCTCTTTGTAAACATTTTAATCTTTGGGACTAGGCAGTAATCATCCCTTTGTCTTAGCATATATAACCTTAGTCATATCAATATCTTCATTGAGAAGTGAATGTGAAACCATATCTTTCATAGCCATTTTAAACCAGGTATTTGCTCCAGTTTGAATTTTATTTTTCTACCTCGTCTCTTAGGCTATACGGAGTTTCTTTTCGGGCCAGGGGAGAGACTTATTATTTATTATTATTATTTGAGAGTTAAAATCCCCCAATTTCGATTTATCATGTGCTTGGTTGCCGGGCAACACTTGTTTTGCACAACGAAAGTCTTAAATGTTCATTAAAGTAAGCATGAAACCTAATAAACTAGCAACACTTGACCTTTATCTTAGTTAGGTAAGATATTGCTCAAAAGCTTGAACTTCTAATATTTTATTTTATTATATTTAAATCATTCAATATAAATCAGCATAAAACTCACTAAGAAACAGAACTGTTGGGTTGATCTGTAATGTGTTACTATGTAATTGTTATATTATAATTGGAAAAATACTTATGTCTTATATCTCTAAAATGCAAGCAGAGTAAGAAAAAAAAAACCATCAACGTTGGAGTGATATTTGCTTCATTTTCTTTTTTGTGCTAATGATGCTTGAATTGGTGAAACGTTGACTGGTTTTTTGTTTTTTTTTTTCCTTGCCTACATTTTGGAGATATAAGGCTGAGTGGTTGGAATTTTTCCAATTATAACCTAATATTAAAATAATTTCATTAGCAAGTTTATCACCATTGACCCGACTATTATCATAATAAATAAGGCACTTTTCTATTGTTCCTTTTTTTTCTAAAAAATTTAATACATTTATTGCATCTTTTTCTATCAGAAAATGACAGTAATTTTCATATTTTCTGCATACTTAGTTTTATTGAATTCCACTAGATTTAGAATTTTTTTTTTTTTATTTAGGCCAAGATGTATACAGACTATTGCCAACAATTAGTTATTTTCATTAAGAAAAGCGTACCAGTTGATACCTTTTTCTGTCATTGTTAGTCTTATATTAAAGCCAGCAGAGGCATAGGCCTGCCATATAGTTACTTTAAACAGTTTAATACTATCATCATTCATCTCTGCCATTTTCTTAACAAAATCCAGTTACTGGATGCCAACATAAAGGTGAAGAAACAAAGATCATAACAAATCACTCTAATATGAAACATCATAATATGGTATTATATAATGCTTCAAGTTACTGCTAAAGAGTTAATATTAATAAGAAGCTAAGATATACACGTTGAAGAATTAAATCTATTTTGTCGTGTTAAACTTTTAAATAACACACAAAAACTCTTAAGCTGCGGGTGAATTTCTAAGCTCAATCCTCAAACTTGGTCAGCTGCTGACAAAATGATGTTAACCAATATCAACCACACGTGTTTTCATGTAACGTCTTAGTATTGAGTATAATAGTTCGGTACTTTGACATACACAGTCTCATGTGGAAAAGATACATTAGCACCGGTGAAAAAAAACACCATGCTCTGTCGGCAGTCATCCTTGTAAATATTGTCATTTGAGACTATCTGCGGCTCCATTACAAGCATTAT